CGAACCTCTTGAATTTGTTCCCGTTTCATTGAAGTCACATTTATTACATTTGGATTATGGCTCCTTTTACTACTGACAATGAACCGATTGCGATCGCACAAATTATTGTTTGAATTGTACTCTCGTCTACTCTTTTGAAAATATTTCGCTCCTTTCGTTGACAATCCTCTGTGAAATTTTCCAAGATCGATAATTTGTTAACTTCTGCATTGTTCAGTGTCTGACGATTTCTCCTTGTTGAGCCGAAACACGAGATTATTACAATAAAATCTTTTTGAATAGGAAACATTCTTATCAAGCTAATCTTGTGATGGAAAAGGGTGAGTAAATCGAACGAACTTAAAACAAATTTAAATACTGTCCAGAGGTTTTTTCAGTGCTTTGAAGAAACTTCTTCCAAATATTGAAAAAAGCTTTTTCGGCAAGAATATTTGACATGATCTTCATCAGCGATGGATTTACACTGCTTCTGCCAAAATGTGAAAAATGTTGTTCCGCCTCTGATCAGGTACATATTATACCTTCTCGCTTTAGCGTGAGCTAAAAATCAAATACTTCTTAAGAGAGCTCTTTGATTGATTTCGTGAACGTGAATATTGCCTTATACCTGCGAGCTTGATTAAAACTTTTTCCTAAATGGTGCAAATCCAAAGGTCTCAGTTGCGCCATCCGTTTACACAAGAGACCACTATTACTGTGGCATATGTCAGAGAAAATATAATATTACTATTTGCCATGGAGATTAAAGTCAGAAAAGAAACATGTAATTTTTCGAGCCATTAATGGAGATTTTAGACGAAGAAATGAGCTTATAGAAACGTCTAATCATTGAGGACCACTAATGAGAATAGATCGAACAGGAGAAGAGCTTGTCTGAGTATATCATGACGGCCGGAACTATCCATGGACGTTATAATTTTCAGACACCCCACTTTCAGTGGTGGACGCGAGTGTGTCCTTATGGAGGGAACCACATCGAAGTAGACTACATTATAGTAAACCGAGTATTCTATTTGGCTAAGTCGCTGTTGCTCAGAATTCTACACGAGAAGACTATTATATACCCATACAACATTTCATTTTTCGCAAAAATGAGAATAAGTCGGTGAGATTCAAGAAACGAAATTCCAGAACTAATAGTTCTTCAACTTTTAGACAACCCGTCTTCACATTTTTCATGTGAACCCTGGTATCTGTTGAATCTGATTAATTTCCTCATATTCATCATCAACAAAGGATTCCACATGTTACTAGGCCAGTGCTTGAGGACTTCGTTATTTTAATCCCTAAGAGAAGATGTGTAGCACCTGAGGTGTACAATTGTTTAAGCTGGACAAAACTTTTCTCTTAACACTTGGTAATCTTTCAAAATCTTGAATCTCTGCGATTTCAGCAATATATATGATTTTCGAAAAAGTCAATACGCTTAAGCAGCGAAAATGCTTTATTTGCTGGGCTGGGCTTGTATGTGACTCCTCGCCGAACTTTTATTAGTTATTCGATAGCCCAAAGCGCGAAAATTTTAATGCTGCAATTGGATCTTTTGAAAGTTTTGGAACTTTGTGAGAGCGAAAAGAAGGTTAACATTAGCATTAAAAGTTTTTATCGCACAGAAAAGTTATATGTGCACGAGAAGACGCGCATTGACCTCTGCGACGCCAAGCGATCGTGCGCATCCCAACTATGGCGCGAAGCCAATCACATCGACAACGGAGGTGTTTGCTGCAATGACCTGACGAAGCCATATGACCCTAGGGCATTGGCATTTGTATGAGCTGAGAACGACGGGAGTACTGAGCGCAACTGCTAGTGATATGAGTGGGATCGTGAATGGTCACTGTCAACCAAGTGATAGTTAGTGGCCTTGTAAGACAATGATTAACCAACGATTTGGGGAGAGAGGAAGTTGGACTCGGATGAAGGTGTCGCCTAATCGAAATTACGTATTTCAACAGAAAGAGAAGGCATGAAATGCCTGTGAGTCCTACAGATGACGACTGATGTCAACCGATACAGTCCAAACACGGCTAAAAGTCGCGCAGATTGAATGCCTCGATGGTGTAATGTAAGCACGCGCTGCCCCAAAACAAACCAGTGATGGTTCGAATCCCTCACGCAACACATGAGTCGCCTTGCTCTTCTCGAACCTCGCTATTCTATGGTTATATTTTGCATCGTAATCTGCCACTTAAATTAATCCACGTATAAGGAGAATTTGACAAAAAATCGAATAATTAACGTTGCTTTTCGATCTACTCGTAGCAGCTTATCGCAAGCACAAATAACTTGTGGATCAAATCCTGTCCTCCCTCACCGAGTACTACTTTTATTAATCAACCTATTTCGCGTCGTAACACTATGCGTTTGCCAGCGGGGTGACCAAAGTAATCCAAATGACTCATATGCCTTAATCAGTGTTCGACTTGAGGCGCGGAACAATTCGGCGTCGGATCGGCATTTGGCGGGTCGCCAAGTGTCACGTTCGGCACCGGAAAATATGAGCTTAGGTCACTATAATGACTTTTGTGACATAATGGACCAATAAAAGTGAACATAAAGCCAAAGTCCAGATCTCCAATACAGATCAGGAATCGCCCTCTATAAAAGCTAACACGAAAAGGGGGATGTAGATCAAAAGATACACCACTGCAATCAATAAGTATGCGTCTATTTCAGAAGTGGCTGATAGTTTTTGAAGCATAAATATAGTGGATGTCACGTACTAGATTTGAAGAGGAGAGGTTTATTTTCAGGGATATTGGTTTTGCATATTCTTTGAACTTCGTTACTTTAGGTGGGTGCTTGTTTTTAGGCCTCTGCCGTAATGATATTCAATCAATGACGATCATTCGAAACTATGATGGCTTCGAAGTGAAGAAAAACCTTCTGCCAAAGTTCCTGACAAATGTTCCGATAAGAATCTTTCGAAACGCTCCCAAATTGAAACTCGGCACATACTCAAAGACGTATCCACTACAGCTAAAGTTTCCATATATTAAGAAAACAATCTGATCGGTACCAACAGGAGATATCTCTTCGAAAATTCAGCTATGAAATATGTCTATGTAGATAGAGAACGCGGTTATCATTTTCCGTTGAAGTGACGTATTAACATTTTATAGACCGTTCAAATATTAACAATGTTCTTAGCGAATTTCATTAAAAGAATAAAGGTACATGAAATAATATTTCATTAGACATTTTACCACTAATATGATTACAATAACTGATTTTCAGTTTGGATGATTACCAACTACTGATGGTTGAAATCGCACGACTTTTATCCCAGGCAACTTATCCTATGAAAGAACCTGTCGACAATATCATAATATACGTTGGAATAAAGGAAAGAAATATTCTTAGATCCATGAACATGCAGCTCAGCTATGCGCGTGTTAGTGAGGATGCACTAGGCGAAGTCAAACTCATCACTATTTAAGACCGTTTTATTGAAAAAAAAACGAGTTTCTCGTCAAGGAGATTTTGAGCACAAGAAGAGTAAGAAAAAAAGTAGAAAGCTGCTAACAGCTCGTCAAAAATATTGCAACGGATTTGAATGATTGCGATATAACGCGTAATGAGACCATTCTTTAAAAATATGAAATTGATTCTGATTTGTTCTTATTGTGAAAACCTTGTGATTACGCACTTTCTTATCCTTAGACTATAGAAGCCTCCACTGGAAATGATTCTAACATTGAATAGAAGATAACATACATTTTGATTTCAATCACGGCTTCGGCTTCAGTAGGTCTTGTGGCGATTTTATTGTCCCAAACCAATTCCGTTGAAAGATTGCTACTGATATTAGCCGATGCAATGGAGACACGATTTAAAGTTACGCCAAGTGGAAGCCCCGCTGGTGTAATGTGAGCGTGCGTTAGCCCGAAACGGACCAATGGTGGTTCGAGTCCGTCAAACAGCACATAACTCGCCACGCTATTCTCGTATCTCGGTATTTTTTAGTTGTACTTCGGATGGTAACGTGCCGATAAAAATGAATTGGATTCAAAGGAGAAGTTGATAAATTGTAGAATCGTAAGCGTTATTCTTTGATTTACTCCTATCAGCTCAGCGGAATTACAAATAACTTTTAGATTAAATCCTATACTCACAGACAGCTACTTTTTTGTTTAACTCATTTTTCGCCATAGCACTACGCGCCTGTCTTTTGTCTAATTCCGTTCGAATTTCGGCGCGGAACCATCGGCGTCGGGTCGCTGTTTGGCGGGTCGCCAAGTGTCACGTTCGTCACTGGTAAACATGGGTTAGGTCACACCCTGAGTTTTGTGAAGTAGTGGAGCAAATAAAGGTGAACACAATGCCATAGTCCAACTCTGCACGGCACACCAGAAATTGTCATTTATAAAAATCACTATGAAGAAAGAATTAAACTAGAAGATTCAATTAGTGTGTTTAAATTTAGGTTCATCTAAATGTTGACTATAAGTCAAAAAATTGGGAAATCTGCCAGCAGTTCGGCTTTGCGCATTTCTCCAACAAAGGCATTTCATTTAGACTTTATTTTGCGAAGCGGCAATAGCAAGTACGAGAACCAAAACGAACATCTTTTCATAGAATTTGGATTAATTAATGCTATCCGTTTTCAAAATAGAAAGAGTGGAGTGGAAAACGAGCGCCGGTGGTGTAACGGTTTAGCACATGCTCCCGGAAAGAGTAAGATCTGAGTTCATATCCCTGCTGACGCAAACGTTTTTGCACACCCTCTACATCATTGGATTTATCTAAACATCATAATATCGCGATCGGCGGTCAAATAAAGATGATTTCGATTGATTATTGAACCCAATATCTGTCAACAAAAGAGTGTTCAATGTTGATAATAATTGCCCCGCCACACCGTAGACTTGCTGTTGACAGATAACGCGTTGTAGCGTAGAAATGTTGACTGTTGACAGATAACGCGTTGTTGACAGATAACGTTGTTGGCTGTTGACAGATAACGCGTTGTAGCGTAGAAAGAGTGGAGTGCAAAACGAGCGTCGGTGGTGCAACGGATTAGCACATGCTCCCAAAAGGAGTAAAATCTGGGTTCAAATTCCGGCTGACGCAAACGTTTTTGCACACCCTCTACATCATTGGATTTATCTAGACATCATAACTGTGCAATCGGCGGTCAGATAAAGATGATTTCGTTTCAAAATACTTTAGAAACATTGATACAGATGACGGTTGATTGGCAGATTGTACAATTTCTTTGGCCATGCCATTAACTGTAAACGAGAACATCGTCTCGAATCGTCTCACCCCTCACATTTGGATTTCATATGGTTTTTCGTATGAAGTGAACGCATCATCTAGACACAATGCCACCTGATTATGTGCAATTACTCGTGCATAATTTTCAATACACTACCGTCCAACTGGAAAAAACGGCAGAGTACCATGAAATTTAACATGTTTATTCATAATTCTTCAAACGTCACGTATTTGGAATTGATTGTGGCCCTAAAGAGGAACGTTGGGTTAGATGTGTTTTGACGAAAATGTTGACTGATCCGTCTTATCCACCGAAACCGTACAGGGTCCGTCCTTGGCGCTTGAGGGCATAGACGACGTCCATGGCGGTGACGGTCTTTCTCTTGGTGTGCTCACAGCTCAGGGACAACATCCAGGGCATCACCAAGCCGGCGAGTATGTGACAGCGTCACGAATCACATTCTCGAAGAACACCTTGAGCACTCCACGAGTCTCCTCGTAGATCTGTCCGGAGATACGTTTCACACCACCACGACGATCCAGACGACAAATAGTCGGCTTGGTGATGCCTTGGATGTTGTCCCTGAGCACTTTGCGATGGCGTTTCGCTCCTCCTTTTCCGAGTCCTCTGCCTCCTTTTCCACGACCTGAAATGACGACAATCGAACAGCTGCGACACTGACAAGCGAGATGGAGAACGTCGCCGCAGTCCTAGTTATATAGTCTTAGATCAGATCCGACGCTGCGACTCCACTGTAGCAAATGTGCACATCCTTTATCACTGCCACGTCTTTTGAGTGCACAGAATGATTTTGAACTCAGTTAATAAATGCTCCGTATTTCTCCTTCATGTCTACACTTTTTGTTGAATTTTTAAATTCAAAACTAGAATAGTTATGTTCTGATGTTCATCTGAGTAGCTCAGGAAATGGACTTATGAAAAGCTGCAGTAACACCGTTGTAGCAACACGTGCAAGTTTGACTTGGAGTTTAGCCGGCGTTTGATGTTTTGGCTAGTTCTTAACTCTATAAAGCGTTGTTATAAACAAAACGAACGCGAGGAAGATCTAGTACCAATTATCAGACTGATTCAGAGAAAAAAAGGACGTCTTTGCCGTTATGAATTGTGAATAAACATTACAGTGACTGTTTGGTAGAGAAAGTTGATGTAATCGGATTATAGAGGTTTATTTCCACCTCTCGATTAGCGCAATGCTTTTTTCTAGATGCTTTTTATAGCAAAGCAGATTTAGATTTTAGTCTTAGTGCAAGAAGATTTCATCGTTTTTCTTCTCCTTTCATGAGTTCAAAATGTGTCATATATGCGATAATTTCAAATATCAGCCAGAAGGCGTCTAATGCACAGTGTGATAGTTTGCGATTTTTTGATGAGAACACTGCAGTCCAAGAATATGGTTGAACGGCAAGTTGAATCGTTCGCGATCGATTCACTTCCGATTCAACCATATTCTTGGACTGCAGTGTTCTCATCACAAAAATCTGCACACTATCACTACTTAGCATTAGATCGCCTTCTGGCTGATATTTGAAATTATCGCATATATGACACATTTTGAACTCATGAAAGGAGAAGAAAAACGATGAAATCTTCTTGCACTAAGACTAAAATCTAAATCTGCTTTGCTATAAAAAGCATCTAGAAAAAAGCATTGCGCTAATCGAGAGGTGGAAATAAACCTCTATAATCCGATTACATCAACTTTCTCTACCAAACAGTCACTGTAATGTTTATTCACAATTCATAACGGCAAAGACGTCCTTTTTTTCTCTGAATCAGTCTGATAATTGGTACTAGATCTTCCTCGCGTTCGTTTTGTTTATAACAACGCTTTATAGAGTTAAGAACTAGCCAAAACATCAAACGCCGGCTAAACTCCAAGTCAAACTTGCACGTGTTGCTACAACGGTGTTACTGCAGCTTTTCATAAGTCCATTTCCTGAGCTACTCAGATGAACATCAGAACATAACTATTCTAGTTTTGAATTTAAAAATTCAACAAAAAGTGTAGACATGAAGGAGAAATACGGAGCATTTATTAACTGAGTTCAAAATCATTCTGTGCACTCAAAAGACGTGGCAGTGATAAAGGATGTGCACATTTGCTACAGTGGAGTCGCAGCGTCGGATCTGATCTAAGACTATATAACTAGGACTGCGGCGACGTTCTCCATCTCGCTTGTCAGTGTCGCAGCTGTTCGATTGTCGTCATTTCAGGTCGTGGAAAAGGAGGCAGAGGACTCGGAAAAGGAGGAGCGAAACGCCATCGCAAAGTGCTCAGGGACAACATCCAAGGCATCACCAAGCCGACTATTTGTCGTCTGGATCGTCGTGGTGGTGTGAAACGTATCTCCGGACAGATCTACGAGGAGACTCGTGGAGTGCTCAAGGTGTTCTTCGAGAATGTGATTCGTGACGCTGTCACATACTCGCCGGCTTGGTGATGCCCTGGATGTTGTCCCTGAGCTGTGAGCACACCAAGAGAAAGACCGTCACCGCCATGGACGTCGTCTATGCCCTCAAGCGCCAAGGACGGACCCTGTACGGTTTCGGTGGATAAGACGGATCAGTCAACATTTTCGTCAAAACACATCTAACCCAACGTTCCTCTTTAGGGCCACAATCAATTCCAAATACGTGACGTTTGAAGAATTATGAATAAACATGTTAAATTTCATGGTACTCTGCCGTTTTTTCCAGTTGGACGGTAGTGTATTGAAAATTATGCACGAGTAATTGCACATAATCAGGTGGCATTGTGTCTAGATGATGCGTTCACTTCATACGAAAAACCATATGAAATCCAAATGTGAGGGGTGAGACGATTCGAGACGATGTTCTCGTTTACAGTTAATGGCATGGCCAAAGAAATTGTACAATCTGCCAATCAACCGTCATCTGTATCAATGTTTCTAAAGTATTTTGAAACGAAATCATCTTTATCTGACCGCCGATTGCACAGTTATGATGTCTAGATAAATCCAATGATGTAGAGGGTGTGCAAAAACGTTTGCGTCAGCCGGAATTTGAACCCAGATTTTACTCCTTTTGGGAGCATGTGCTAATCCGTTGCACCACCGACGCTCGTTTTGCACTCCACTCTTTCTACGCTACAACGCGTTATCTGTCAACAGCCAACAACGTTATCTGTCAACAACGCGTTATCTGTCAACAGTCAACATTTCTACGCTACAACGCGTTATCTGTCAACAGCAAGTCTACGGTGTGGCGGGGCAATTATTATCAACATTGAACACTCTTTTGTTGACAGATATTGGGTTCAATAATCAATCGAAATCATCTTTATTTGACCGCCGATCGCGATATTATGATGTTTAGATAAATCCAATGATGTAGAGGGTGTGCAAAAACGTTTGCGTCAGCAGGGATATGAACTCAGATCTTACTCTTTCCGGGAGCATGTGCTAAACCGTTACACCACCGGCGCTCGTTTTCCACTCCACTCTTTCTATTTTGAAAACGGATAGCATTAATTAATCCAAATTCTATGAAAAGATGTTCGTTTTGGTTCTCGTACTTGCTATTGCCGCTTCGCAAAATAAAGTCTAAATGAAATGCCTTTGTTGGAGAAATGCGCAAAGCCGAACTGCTGGCAGATTTCCCAATTTTTTGACTTATAGTCAACATTTAGATGAACCTAAATTTAAACACACTAATTGAATCTTCTAGTTTAATTCTTTCTTCATAGTGATTTTTATAAATGACAATTTCTGGTGTGCCGTGCAGAGTTGGACTATGGCATTGTGTTCACCTTTATTTGCTCCACTACTTCACAAAACTCAGGGTGTGACCTAACCCATGTTTACCAGTGACGAACGTGACACTTGGCGACCCGCCAAACAGCGACCCGACGCCGATGGTTCCGCGCCGAAATTCGAACGGAATTAGACAAAAGACAGGCGCGTAGTGCTATGGCGAAAAATGAGTTAAACAAAAAAGTAGCTGTCTGTGAATATAGGATTTAATCTAAAAGTTATTTGTAATTCCGCTGAGCTGATAGGAGTAAATCAAAGAATAACGCTTACGATTCTACAATTTATCAACTTCTCCTTTGAATCCAATTCATTTTTATCGGCACGTTACCATCCGAAGTACAACTAAAAAATACCGAGATACGAGAATAGCGTGGCGAGTTATGTGCTGTTTGACGGACTCGAACCACCATTGGTCCGTTTCGGGCTAACGCACGCTCACATTACACCAGCGGGGCTTCCACTTGGCGTAACTTTAAATCGTGTCTCCATTGCATCGGCTAATATCAGTAGCAATCTTTCAACGGAATTGGTTTGGGACAATAAAATCGCCACAAGACCTACTGAAGCCGAAGCCGTGATTGAAATCAAAATGTATGTTATCTTCTATTCAATGTTAGAATCATTTCCAGTGGAGGCTTCTATAGTCTAAGGATAAGAAAGTGCGTAATCACAAGGTTTTCACAATAAGAACAAATCAGAATCAATTTCATATTTTTAAAGAATGGTCTCATTACGCGTTATATCGCAATCATTCAAATCCGTTGCAATATTTTTGACGAGCTGTTAGCAGCTTTCTACTTTTTTTCTTACTCTTCTTGTGCTCAAAATCTCCTTGACGAGAAACTCGTTTTTTTTTCAATAAAACGGTCTTAAATAGTGATGAGTTTGACTTCGCCTAGTGCATCCTCACTAACACGCGCATAGCTGAGCTGCATGTTCATGGATCTAAGAATATTTCTTTCCTTTATTCCAACGTATATTATGATATTGTCGACAGGTTCTTTCATAGGATAAGTTGCCTGGGATAAAAGTCGTGCGATTTCAACCATCAGTAGTTG